GATATTAATTGTGTTTTTGCTTCTTATCCATTTCGCTCATGAGAATATTATGAGTCCGCCACTGAATGATCAGCATTTAAAAATATCTCACTGCAATTCAAAGATGCATCCGATAGCATTGTTGAGAAGAAGAAAAAACAAATTTATCGAACGTTTAGCATTCATGATGGATAATCTCGATTGTCATCAGTATACTTGCTTCAATAGCACAAGTGCATTTTCGTATTAAAGCAGTAATCAAAAAATTCATTCTAAGAAAACGAAACCACTCAAGATGAAACCATACAAATATGAAGTAACTAGGCAATTAAAACATTTAGGTCGAACTTCAGTACATATCTCTCTATGGTAGTTATATAATTAAACATGCTAATTTGGAAATATGTCAACTATGCCATCGATGCGGAGTATGCATTAGAGAATGCGGTTGCTTTTCGCAAGATTCAAGCTTGTAGTTTTAAATTGTTTTATTTGACGCTGTTTAGTTTTACACTACAATAATACGCACATGTAAAGCGTTTTAATAACGTGTAGTTGAGTGGGATATCTACTAGCTGCTGAGTTCTTTATTTCAATTTAAAATTGAGCTAGACTGAAGTCTGTATAACTGAGACAATAATAATTAGTTGCGTCTAAGTAATCATGAGAACTATTGTTTTGTTTTGAGATTGAGAAAATAACGGTTTACCTTTTCGACAAGAATACTTATTTTTGGTATGGAAAGTCTTGTGGAGTTCGATTTTCTTTTCTTGAGATGTCTCTGCTAATATCAGTCGGGATGATTATTGGTACAAAGTTATATTCAACAATCAGAATAATTAGTCATGTCGTTTACACAAGTGGTTTTAAACATCGGTGGTTCTGTTAGACAGTGCTCATAAACGTTATTAAACCTCAAAAATTCATTGTTTGACTTTTTGTCATTGTTAACAGTTTTGAAAGTAAGACTAAAAATTTAAATTCTTTCATCATACTTTTAAAGCTGATAAATTATTCAAAGGAGACTAATAAGGAAACTTATATTGGTTAGATTTAGGCATGCACCGATTATAACCGATTAAAATTACGCACTTTGTTTGTAATAAGTTCTTTTCCATGCAAATTTTTGTAACAATTGGGTTTTTGTAGAGCAAACATTTTTCTACACGATAGAAGTATTCTTCGTGGATCTAAGATGAAAAAAAGATTTCTTAAAAGTCCCATGATAGATTATTACCGATTCACGGGTCTTTATCGAAAAGCGATTGCAGCAGAAACAGAAAACATGAAGACTTCCGCCATAGCTCACCTTGTACAAAAATGTTGGCTCTACAAAACCCAGTCGTGAGAAAATTTGAATATGCATACTTTTCATGCGATCAGTTGCAGGAAAAAGGTGAAATTTATCGATTATAACTGGTGCATGCTTAATTCATACGATCACTTTGCCGATATTTTGTTTACATCAAATATTTTTTTGTCATTTGTTTATCCTTTTACTTCCTGTTATTTCGGTTGGTTTTTACTAGTTCTGCTATTTAGAAAAACTAATTTAATGTCAGACAAGTCGTATATTAGCCCTTATCTGATTTGTTGCTTATCCAAATTAAACTAACATTAATATCTTCATAATGTTATATTCATTGATTATGCATCATGTGAATCGCGAGTTTTATAACATAAGTTTAAAACTTTCGAGAATTTAAAATCTTATAAATGTGTGATCTGTTGAACGACTGTAAGGAGAGAGTAAAACATCTTGAATAGCCGTATTATTTAACGAAGTTAAAACTGACTGACAATTTGATTCAGTAATTTCAGAAGTTCAAATAAATGGTCAGCATATCGTTGTACATTGCAGATTGTAGTTATCTAAAGAAGTTTTTATTTTATTTTATGATACCTTTAAAAGTGTTTGCTATCTCTTAATAATACTGTGGAATTTAGAGAGAGCATTATGTAAACAAAGCTAAATTTCTGAGTTAATTTTTTGACTCTAAACGTAATGTTTTAAATCTCATTTACTTCATTTAGTGACGTAAATGATCAAATCGTTAAATCCAATAGCCATGTCTTAGAATTATAAATATTGACTGTTACATTGTTTTCACATTTGATCAATTTATTTGTGATTCATTGTTGTCCTAGATTTTATAAACATTGTTTACAATTTATTTTTATTGACGTTGTTTATAATCATCAGTCATAGATTGTGGGATTTTTGGGCTTTTTACTGACTTTAAAACTCTTGTTTGAAATTGAACTAAAATTTGACTCAGTGCATCCCTTCTATCATTATATATCACTTTTTATTTTGAATACTATGTATTGGACAATAATATTCCGATAATTTATTCTATGTCTTCTGTATGTAAACGTGCTAATCCTCGAAAACTGCGCATATAATTTTGTTAGAAAAAGATCTGAAATATATGAACAGAGAGATAATAAGACATTGAGTATTTATAAAATGTAGAATTAATTATTTTTGTACTGAAAAAAAACAAATACTTTGCTGATTTTTATCTTTTTAAAAGTTTGACACCGCTGTTCATAATTTCAACATAACTAAGCTTATTTACGATTTATTTTCTTTTTATTACATTGTAGAATATGGGTTTTGGTACTCGACCAATGGGAAACACATCAACTTATCCGATGTCGTCATCTCAAACAAATCCGTTTGCTGTACAACCGCAATCAAATAATTTTGGTGGTTTATCTCAACAGCAACCTCAAACAAAACAACAACAACAATTAATTGATGATCCATTTGGAAATTTATAAAATACAAAATTTTAATAATTTAAGAAACTAATTGACCAAATCAAAACTAAACTTTTACATTAATCCTCCTTCGTTATGTGCAATTATTTGTTTGTATACATTCCGAGATTAGAGTTTTTCCTTTCACTATTTTCTTTGTTGTTATTGTTGTGTCTAGTCACAGTTACTCATTCTCCACTTTTCTTCTAGAAGCTCACTTATAGATGGAAAATATTTATTTAAATGCGTCTTGTCGTAAACCCAAGTATAAAAATTTTTCTTGTCTTTGTCGTAATGCTTTTTAGTGTTATCTCCTTTTTCTTCTTTTTTCTTGAGCATATTTTTATTTATTAAGTATAAATAATTTAATCACTTAAGCGTGTCTATTTCTCTACTTTATTTTTTTTTTTTTGTGTGTGTGTGCCCGGTTTAGTGAGAATTTGGTGTGTGTGTGTGTGTTGTTTGATGGCATACACAGATGCACGCAGAAACGAATTAAAAAATTTAATACATTTTTTTGTTGGTGATTTTACCTTTGTTTAAAAATTAAACGATGTCGTACGTAGAAAAAGTGGCTAATTTCTTTTTTACAATATCAAAGGGAAAAGTAAAAGTTGGAAAATTTGATAGAGAATATGTATACATTTGACAAGAATGAACATCGAATATTTTAGGTAAGATTAATATTGTATTATTATAACTATGAGAAATGATTATTAATTTATTTTATGTGGTTTACTTGTAGGTTCAAGAAAATGGCATGGTTTGATTGGTTATTGTACAAATATCTAATTGGATATTATCATCTCACTCAACAATTCATTTCATCAGGTATTGTGAAATTGTATATTTTTTCTATTCTTTGGGTCAGTCGTTTATCTAATGGTACTTTTAATTGCAAAAAAGACGTTTGTAAAAAGCTTAGGAGATTTAAATTTCCCACTTAGGATTTTTTTTCACATGTAATTTACATTCATCAGGACAGACTTGAAAAAAGTTTATTCTGAACAAAATAATTACTCACGTAAGGGAAAATAATTTTTGTAGTAGTAGTTCAATTTATATTTCTTATTTTTAAAATGTGATGAATAATGATATAGATCAGTAGATTCAACTTTCTTTGTTTGAATAGATAATGTTCAAGTGAAATGTTGTCCTAGTCAGATGAGAACAAAAATTTGTACATCTTTCTTTCTCATAGACCAAAAATTTTCTTTTCAGATCTAACCGTTGCATTAATTTTCTTTAAAAAATACACCACCTTGTTATTTCATACTCGAAATATTTTTTTTTATCTTTTTTACCTCAGAGAGTATACTAGGATTAAAATATCATGTTTCACTATTGAGTTGAATCTTCAGGATTCTTCATATTGATTTGATGAAGACTCACTAGATTGTCATTATCAGATGTTCTTACCACAACTAATTTGTTTCCGTTGGTTTTTTTCGTAATTTTTGGTTCAATTTTGCATAACTCTGCAAGAAAATATTTCTTTTACAAGCTCTTGTTCATAATTATTTATGCTAATAAGTGATATTTTATTCATTTATTTAATTATTATGAGACAAATATTTGGGTAAATCTAACAATTGAATTGCTGCTTAATGAGCCGATAAATTTTTATGACTATTTTAACTTTTTATCTGGTTTGTGAAACTCCTTTTGGGGTAAAATCTAAACATCTATGATTTTTGTACTATGATCAAGTTTATCTATTAAATCTAAATGTGCCCTTTGAGTAAAACGTATTGAGAAAATTGAAGCGACATCGCAGTGTATGCAATAATCATACATTTAACAAGTATACAATGCAGTGAAACAAGATAGAGCCGCAACAATTCACTTGGCGATTATATTTCTCTTTCAAATGATAAAATGCATCGATGTTTAATAAAGGCGAGTACAGTGTGCACGAGTGTGTAATATGTGTTTTTCTGTTTTTTATTGGTCTAAAATAGTGTATAGACATTATTTTTATTATTGTTCGAAGGAGGTTTTTATACATCGTCACCAAGATGGCTGCTATACTTATAAGCATGCATATGTGTCGCTGTAAGAATAGGGAAAAACATATGTTTTTCTTTATTAAACAGGAAACAGTAATGAGATAATAATTTTTAAATCATTAAAAATATTCTAAATATATATTGAATATTACAACTATCTACAATATTTTTCAAACAATAGAATACATATTGTCACATATATATGTACCAAGTAGATTTCAAATTTTTCTAAAATTTTTTTAGATCATGAAAAGTAAAAATGATATTTCCGGTAGCGATGCAAGTGACAGGTATTAAAAGAAAAAAGTTTTTTATTCAACTTACTGGATCATATGTTTACGATGAACATGTACTTAGATTAGATCATGTTAAAGGAAGAATTTTATAGATTCAACATAACTTTGTTGAATTTCAATAATTTTTGAATCTTATTTAAAGTTTAATATAATATCAGCTAGCGTCATATCGTCAGCCCATTTTTCTATGGTTTGTTCTCTTAGCGAATGAACATGCTCTTGTTTTGCATTTATAAAGTGAAGTAAGAAAATTGAGTAACCTAATCTGAATTTGAATAGTGTTCGCGGTTTTGAAGCACACATAGGATTACTATCAGAGTTATTACAAATAATGTAAAGAGCATTAATCCTCTGGAAAAAATTTAACTCGGTAATTGGTGAGAAAATTATTAGTTTTAACTCTTGGTACTGGTGTAAACTCTGTTTTAGAAATTTGTACGACTTTTCTGTTAGTCGGTTAGAGCTACACGGTTCTTTCTTGCAGCAAGGATAACCAATTTTTATTTTAAACAATTTTGCTACATTTTGAGCTATATTGAGCAATGACTTTCTTAGAAAGAGGAAATCGTTGGAAAAGCATTCATCATTTGATTATACCAACCTATTGTTGTTTTGATATCTCTTTCATTCAATATATAATGAAAATCGAGTGAAATAATTTGGATCCCAAAATGTACTGGGATTAGAATAAATTGGTAGTAAATCGCAGATGATACACTCCTGACTGCTCAACAAATAAAAAGATAAGATCTCACAAGTTTGTTGGTACATCTAAAGAATGATGTGGAAAAGGCTGAGCAGTGGCAAATAGAACCGGATGGTTTGAGACTGTGGATTGATCATTTTCGCATAAACAATTCCTTCAAATAGCACATTTTCTTTTTCACAAAAGAAAACAGTGACTTATGACTCATCTTTTACTTTCTTATTGGCACCTTTTATAACCAATAGGTTTTTCGTTTTCGGATTTTAGAAGTTGTCTTTTTGAGTCGTTATGCTGTCTACGTTTCTGACCTAGGATCATAAGTCTTCTTCGTACCGCATCGTGTTTTTGTTAAATGAGATTTCTCCATCGTAAGGATTCCTCACAATTAGGTGTTTTTGAAGTAAAGAAGACTTTTCGGCTGGTGGCTTTCTTTTTCACTCATAAATATTATGAATTCTCTGTTCGTTTTAGCGAGGTAGACGAATCCAATTCTGACCAAGACGAAGGTGAATTAAGTAGTAGTGAAAACAATGGACTAACAATCCCAGCTAACACAATAGCCACCTCTTCTTCTTCGCTATCCGTTGTCACTTCATCGACCGTAACAGCTACGGCAAGTTTTGCTAGTCCTAGTGATGAAGAGGAAGAACCAGAGTTACAAGATACTCAAAGTTTAGCACATTTTCTCCAAAATAATGATGATCAAGATCAAGTTGTTCTAACCCAACGAATTTCCAAACAAACAAAACGACAATTAGAGACAGCTGAAGAAGAAAGTGATGAAGATTTGTCAGAAGAAGAAGAAGAAGAAGAGGAAGAGAACAGTAATGAAGAGGAAAATAGTGACGAAGAAGAGCCAACTAGTGAGGAGGAAGAAGACGATGATGAAGATTACGGAAAAAGAAAAACAACAGCAAAACGTACCACTAAAACAAAATCCAAGTCAAAACGCAAACCGGTAACTAGACAACAGGTGTGACATCAGTTAAATCTTGTCATCCTATACAATTTAATTAATCTTTTTTTTGTACAGTAAACTTGAGTTTGTTTTCACATATGTTTACAGCTTCGAATAGTAAAATAACTTCTTGCTTTTTGGTCAAAAAAAAGAATTAGGAACTCGATAATGAATGACCATTAAGTATTTAAATTGGGAGACAAATCTGTTAGACTGTAGACAAGAGCTCTACTTATCTGAAGCGACTAGCATTTTATGCTTACCTTCTTTTGCTTTTTAAAGGTAACGCGTTCTAAAGGTGCTACAACAACAACAACAAATTCCTTATATCCGGCATCTACAACGAATCGTAAACGTCAGCGTACGTCATCGTCTACAAGTTATGCGTCAGTAACAAAAAAAGCACGTTCATCCTCTACCAAACGTAAAATTCGTCGTACCGTTGCAGCAAATCGTATTAATTACCATGAAAGTTCAGGTGATGAGCAAAGTGATTCACAACCACAACAAAAGCAGCAGTCACAGAATTCAGATGAAGAGGATGAATCAACTAGTTCAAACGATAATGACTATAAACGAAAACATCATTACCATGTAGCACATTCTTCATCTCATAGTGATTTAACAGTTAATACGGCTCAACGTCAAACAAAAGTTCGTAGTTCAGAAAAGGTATCATCTGGTAATGATACAACTTTATTGGATGAATCACAATCAGAAACAATTGAAAAAGTATTGAAAGTAAGATTTGGAAGAAAAGGTGCAACAGGTCCACCAACTACCGTGTACAATATCGATGAATTTGGAGATGTAAATCAAGACTACGATGAACAGACGCAAGCGGAAAATGGTGAAGAACAATATTTAATTAAATGGAAAAACTGGTCACATTTACATAATACATGGGAATCTAAATTAACCTTGGAGCAAGCACATGTTAAAGGTAAGCACCAAGCAATGGTAATTCTAATGATATTCACTTGCGATATTTTTAAGGTTTAAAAGTATTGGATAACTATTTAAAATTGTATGAACAAGCTCGAAAATGGCGAAGTGTCAAAGCAAATATTGAAGAAATTGAATCGTACGAATGTCAACAAGAACAAAATGAACTATTACTTGCTAGTTATCAACAAGTTGAACGAATTATAGCACACGAAAAAAATCGAAAAGAAGAAGATACATCAATAGCGGCCGGTTACGATTATCTCTGTAAATGGGATTCACTCCCTTATAGTGAATGTACATGGGAGGATGGAATGTTAATATCAAAACGTTTTCAATCAAGAATCGATGAATACAATGAGAGACAGAAAGTGCAGTTAGAAGAGAGTAAAATAACATCATCATCAAACAAATTGAAGATAAGACCAAGATTTGTACAAATACAACAACAACCAGCGTATCTAGCACGAGATAATAAAGAACAAGAATATTTACTAAGAGATTATCAATTGGAAGGTTTAAATTGGTTAGCACATTCATGGTCAAAATCAAATTCAGTCATATTAGCCGATGAAATGGGCCTGGGTGAGTAACTTCAACCTGTTATACTATCTAATCCAACTAAGAGAATGTTCGATGAGTTTTTGATCCTTACAGTCAGCTGCCTGATTGATCCTTATCAACTATCTCTCTTCGTCGTTATACACAATTTTTTTATCTTGCTAATATTTCATTTCAGGTAAAACAATTCAGACAATTTCGTTCTTATCCTACATATTCGAAGAACATCATATTAATGGACCCTTTTTAGTTGTTGTTCCATTATCTACCATTCAAGGATGGCAACAAGAATTTCAACGATGGTCACCATCAGAAATGAATACAATCGTTTATACTGGTGATATGTTATCACGTGAAAAAATACGGCAATATGAATTTTATGCAACGGGAAAAAAGTTAAAGTTTCATACTTTAATAACAACGTATGATTTTCTACTCAAAGATAAACAATATCTAAATCCGATACAATGGGCCGTATTAATGGTCGACGAAGCACATCGACTCAAAAATGATGACAGTGTACTATATCGTACACTGATACAATTCGACTCACAACATAGAATATTGATTACAGGTACATTGAACATATCGCAGGTTGTCGTACTTGAGAATCAAACGAAAGCTTAAACTTATAGATCATGTTCTCACGATAACTATTCAGAAAAATCGAAATGATTCTTTTTATTTTAGGCACACCATTACAAAATTCTCTTAAAGAATTATGGTCGTTATTACATTTTATTATGCCACAATATTTTAATGATTGGGCAAAATTTGACATGAAATATTCTTCATTGCTATCAACAAATGATACAAATCTTGTGAAACGATCAACGGAACTTCATAAAGAGTTGGAACCATTTTTACTACGGCGAATTAAACGTGATGTTGAAAAATCTCTCCCAGCTAAAGTTGAACAAATTTTACGTGTAGAAATGACACGTTTACAAAAACAATATTATAAATGGATATTGACGAGAAATTATCGAGCTTTGACAAATGAAAGAGGTGGTTCACTACCATCGTTTATTAATATAATGATGGAATTAAAAAAATGTGCAAATCATGCCTTCTTTGTTAAACGAGATGATGATAAGACAGTAACACTCGATGTAAGTTGATAATGTTATTAACGTTTGTGTTTTTCGTATCAAACAGACTTCCCATTTATTTTAGGAAATAATTAAAGGTAGTGGAAAATTATTGTTACTCGATAAATTATTGTTAAAGTTACACGAAAGTAATCATCGTGTATTAATATTTTCTCAAATGGTTAAAATGTTAAATATACTCGCTGAATATTGTACACTAAGACGATTTCCATTTCAAGTAAGATTAAAGAAATTCTTGACAAACTAGACATATTTTTTAACTCTCATCAATAAAACTTTTATATTTGATAATTTGTAAATCTTTTCTATACCAATCTTTATTTGAAATATCATTTATTTTATTTTTTTAGAGATTAGATGGTTCAATGAAAAGTGAAATTCGTCGACAAGCATTAAATAATTTTAATCGTGAAAATAGTGAAGATTTTATATTTTTACTTTCAACAAGAGCGGGTGGTTTAGGTATTAATTTAGCTACAGCTGATACTGTAATTATTTATGATAGTGATTGGAATCCACAAAATGATCTTCAAGCTCAAGCACGTGCTCATCGTATTGGTCAAACAAAACAAGTAAATATTTATCGTTTAGTTGCTAAACAAAGTGTTGAAGAAACTATACTTGAACGAGCAAAACAAAAAATGGTCTTAGATCATCTTGTTATTCAACGAATGGATACAACAGGACGAACATTATTTCAAAATTTAAATCAAAATTCAACAAATTCAACAATGGATAAAACAGAAAACACAAAAACTTATTCAAAAGAAGAACTCAATACTATTATTAAATTTGGTGCAGAAGGTTTATTTAAAGAAAAAGATAGTCAGACAGATACTGGTGAAGATGAATCACATAAAATCGATATTGATGAAATATTACGACGAGCAGAAACGAGACAAGATGATACCTATATGCGAAATTCAAGTGAAGATTTATTATCACAATTTAAAATAGGTACATTATCATTATTATTAAAATATCTTCAACAATAAATTTAAGTATGAAATTTTTATTCTATTTTTAGCTAATATTTCTACAATGGAAGAGGATGATGATGTGATTACGTCGAAAACATCAGGCAAAAGTTGGCAGGATATTATACCTGAAGAAGATCGTTTAAAATATGATCAAGAATGTTTGAATGAATTAGTTATTCTTCATCCTCGTAATCGAAAACGTGTTGAATTATTTAATTATAATTCGGATACAGAAAAAACAAATCATGGTGGTGATCAAGGTGGTGAAAATGATCAAGATGACACATTAGTACCATCACCTTCAGCAACATCTAAAGACAATGTATTACACAATTTTAATTCAAATGAAATTCGAAGATTTATTAAAAGTTTTAAAAAATATCCAGATGCTTTGAATCGTCTTGATTTAGTGACAATGGATGCTGAATTAGAAGAAAAATCGCGACATGATATTGAACAATTAGCTCAAAAATTATATCATGAATGTACAATAGCGGTTGATCAAGAGACTACAACACCGCCAAGTGCAAATGCAAATGATGAACAAGGTCAGTATGAAAATGGCTGAAATCAACTTAAATCTAAATATGTTTCATTTTAGATGATCAACCGAAAAAATCGTGTTTATCTCGTGGTCCAACAATTCGTCTTCAGGGTGTGAATATCAATGCATTACAAATAATGAATTCTATTCGTGATTTAGAATCTTTAAAGAAACTAATATGTCCCACGAATAGTCAATCACAACGTAAAACATTTCCATTTCCACCATTGAAAGTTAAATCAGTTCATTGGAATTGTCCATGGTCAATTGAGGATGATAAATCGTTACTCTACGGAACCTATGAATATGGTTATGGAAATTGGGAACAAATTAAAATGGATCCGGAATTGAGTTTAAGTTCGAAAATTTTACTTGATGATAAAAATCGTAAACCCCAATCGAGTCATTTGCAAACACGTGCAGATTATCTGCTAAAATTATTAAGAAAGTATTTTGATCTAACAAAAATAAAAGAGAAAACATTACCAGTAAAAAAGAAACAAACAGTTAAGAAAGGAAAACAATCACCATCTGCTGTGGATGAAAATAGTAATGATGCAGGAAAACGGCAAAAACGACTGAAAGGTGGAAAAGAACATCTGCCAAAATCACGAGAGGTGATTGATAATTCAAGTGGAGATGATGATAAACCTACAACGACAAGATCGAATAAAATCAGTACATCTTCAGAACACAATCACAGTCATAAACATCGACATCATCATAGTAAAAAGGAAGAACGAAATGAATTACAGCAACATATTTCACAAAAGGTAAGATTTAGATTTTTTCAACAGTATGCTGGTCCGTTTCTTAATTTCTGTTTATTATTGTAATTGTAATACTTTTTCTTTAGACTAAAGATGTTCAATCAGGCAAGACTAGACAAATAAAAGTCGAAGATGAACACGCTGATCATAGTCTGAATGATCCAAATGAATATGCAGGTTTAGAAAAGAATGTTTTTAAACAGGTAAGCGGTATTGAACAACGTCTCATTCTTAACTTTACATTTTTCTTATTTTTAGTGTAAAGATTTATTGCGTCCTGTTAAAAAATGGTTTGGCAGTTTGAATACTCCAGAAGAAGCATTTGATTCCTATGATGACTATATAAACGGCTTTGAAAAATCTCTGTTGAAAATCGGTGATCAAATACAACTGGCATTAAAAGAACAACACACAGAACAAGAACATCATGAATATCGTCAAAATTTATGGACATTTGTATCAAAATTTACATCGAAATTGACAGCAGATGAATTAAGAAAAAGTTATCGAACAGCATTCAAAAAACGAGAAGAAAGTCGAGCATTAGCAACTGCATCAACATCATCAAGCTCTGTAACTGGTAATAATTAAATACTTGACAATCGGTAGTAGTAGAAGACACCTTTGAGTTCAAAAATCAATTTTTCTAAAGCAGCAGTCTCGTATGATTTGAGAATATAACTCGAAACTGTAACGTTTTTCTGCATAGACAATTATTTGATCTCTTTGCTCTTGTATATTTAGGACTATCCACTGCAACGAGCACAACAGCTCCAAAACTAAGTCCAACAAAAAATTCTGTAAATAATAATCTTCGCTCTGTTAAGCAAGATGAAACATATCGTCGTGCTGGATGGTGTTCAAAACAAGAAACATCATTCACATCTCCGTCTATTCCTTCGTCATCGTCACAAACGAAAGCGCTTTCTCGTACAAAACATTATACAAATGATCATTTAAAAGATCCACGATTGAAATATTCTCTTAGTGCACCGCCAGTACCATCTCCTGCTCAATTGGCTACAACTACTTCTATGAAAGGAATCATTGGATCAACGAATACGGGCACAACAAACACTGCGGAAGGATCCCGATCATCAACGAATACATGCAACAGTGAAAATAACAATAGTAATAGTAATGAAGAACGAGATCGTCGAAATTCAAATACAGCATTTGGCAGAAGATCATACAATGATAATGTGGATTCTTTGTCATCGTCAGATTATAAATCACATCGAGATCATAACAGCGATAGAAAGTAAGCTTAAGGAATTTATATGTATTTTTACATGAACATTACAAAGCTAAATGCAAATATTCTTAAATAAATTTGTTTTACTTTTAGAGATGATCGTGAATCCAGACGATACGATCCACAATCTCGATATAACCCTTATAATCGTTCGAATAAACCATCTAATTATTCATACGAGCAACGTTCAAATTCTTACAGAAATTCAAATTCAAGAGGACAAACATCCACAAACAATATGACTTCATCGTCAGCATCAGTTTCTGTTCTTTCTACTCAAGCACCTACTTCACTTCTCTATAATACTACAGCGCCCGATGTATTTCAAACAATGTATAAACAATACTATGATCTCTACTCAGCGCAAGCACTCGCAGCTGTAACATCAATGCGTCAGAATCAAACAACAAGTTTGACAACTACGACAACAACGCCATCGACGTCTACAACAACAGCAATGTAAGTAATCAAAGTTTCATTCGTCCTACATAAAATATATAGTATTTTTTTTTCTCGTTTTAATTTAGTTCTCCGAACGGCTACGCTGAATTGGCTGTTGCATATGCTCGTCAGCAACAGCAACAAAAATAAACTTCGTTTTTTTTATTATTATTATTCTCATGTGATATTGTTTTTTTGTTTTTGTTTTCCTGAATACGCGATATTCTATGAAGGTTTATCGTCATCCAAAAACAATTTATTTTAGTTTTTTCGCACTACACATTTTGACATGTATTCGCCGGTCATTTTGTTTTTCTGCCTCTCAGCGATTCCCGTCTTTTTTTGTCACAGTGATAGATTCTTTGTTTTTGTTGTTAAAAAAAGAAGTAACCAACTATTCGTTACATCTTCTTGTACGTGCAGAGAGAGTGAGAGAGAGAAATTACTTATTTTTTTTGCGTTAATGTGACGTTTTTTTCTCTGTGTTTGTATATTGTTGCTTTATTCTTTGCGTATAACATGAATTTATTCTGTTTTTCATATATAACAATATCATATAGCTAGATAGAGATGATGCATGTATAGTTAACTACTTCCCATTGTTGATACTTTTTTTGTTTGTTTCTTTTTGTCTTTACTGATTAAAAATTATTGAAAAAATGGATCTCGTGATTAGATCTAAACGATAAAAATTAACCTTTATTTAGAAATATGATTGTGAGTAGCAGGATGTGTCTTGGGATTCTATAGTATAGATGACCACTTCAAAGATCACTCTACTCTGCTGGTCAATTATACATGACTAGCTTTCTCCGTTTCCAATATCTTCACATTGGAAATCTTTAATATTTTTCAAAAATTTTTGTTTCATATATATATCGTTCAATACTGTTTTTGTTTAATTTGTGTTGAATAAATTTTTTCTGGAAAGAAAAAATAATCTATTTGGAAATCAAAGTTAGGTAAAAGGTCTGTATTTGGAACATAAATATAAATATAAATAGCACTAATTCTATACAGTGATATGGTAGATGTAATCCACGTAAACATGTACCTAGGTAAAAAATGTACGGTACGAAACCATAAAAACCAGTCACGTACTAAAATAATTCCAATTGTACCAGGTTCGTATGATATGGTCACTATGCTGCGGGACTATGTTATGAATTTCGTATTTTCATCAAAAGAAACGACGCTCGCCCGTAAAATAGCTGTATTTCACTGACCATTAACAGCCAGCTTACAGAATTTATACCGTAGATAGAGTAGAGTCATGGCTATATTTTGGTGAAAAGAAAACGTTTTCATCTCGGGAAAGGGTGGCGCTGCTTTTGTGGTGTTATAAGACCTTGTACGAGTTATCAATAACGTTCAACAACAGCAACAAAGTCAGAATCAGAATCAAGATCAAAGTAGTACATCAAGTAATTTGATCACAACAACTCCGAGTGGTTCGTTCAATATTCAATCACCGTTATATCATGGAAAAGAGGGTGAAAACGTTAGATGAGAGGCCCCATCCCATCTACCCTCACCTGTTGCGAACTCAAAAAGATAGCAGAAGCTAAGAGATCAAATCTTCTGCTCTCATCTCCCCTCATGAAATTAGATGAGAGTAGCAGGTTTGATTTCGCCGCGAACTTAACTTCTGCTATTTAACTTAAATTCTCCGCGAACGCGAAACTGTCAATAAATGAAATCTCAATAGAAATACTGGGCAGTATGAAAGATATGAAAGTAAGATTAATCGAATCGGGCCTTGGAGGCGCGTAATGTCATATGTGTTATACAAGCCAACAGGACGGGAATGATAAAAATAAAATTTTAGATAAACGGAACAACGCTAAAAGAAAGCTTTTAAATAGAAAATGCACTTGATCTTCTATTTTCTTTCTCTATGTTTAGATAGCGATACAGAAACAGCGCTATATTGCTATTTCTTGGCTGTATCAAAAGTTAGATTTTAAGAACAAAAATGAGTAATATAGCAACTTGGTGAAAATAAAACTTTTTATTGCAAAAAAATTTACTATTGACTTTTTTTCGTTTACGGACATTTAAGAGGGGGCTCTCTCCCTTTTATTTCGGTATGTTGTACAGTTTGATGGGCTACTCCAGAATAACCTCCCTTTATGGGGTCACAAACAAAAAAAGTGATCAAAACTGAAGTACAAAAGTTTTTTTCCCATGTATTTTGCTGGGCTGAAAAAGTATTTTGAAAAAAACCTTGTCAAAAATTCTGCAAAAACGGTTCATGGTGGAAAATAACTTTTGCAACAAAAAATGTGCGCAATGGCCGACTGCGGGGAATAATGTTGTCCGATTTTCAAAATTTTCTTCGATATGTTTTAAATTTAAATTCTTTTAAAATTTAAAACTCAATAAAATTTAATTTTTTTCAAAATTCTCCCATTAACTCTGAAAAACAGCTAACGTTACCTCCCTTCCCCCGCCGTCAGCCATCGCCCAAAATTTTTGTAGCAAGACTTTTACTCCATTATGCTTTTGTTATTGCAGGATCTTTGGCAAGAGTTTCACACTGCAGTTAAGGAGTGGCTCCATACACCTTATATGTGCACTCAAACTATGCCAGTTTGAAGAGGACGATTGAATTTGAATTTGAAGGATTATAACATGGTAGCTAGATAGCCCAAAGTGTTCTCTACAATTCTGCATAAAGTGGACCTTTCTATCTGTTGTGATTCTCAAATGGCAGGCATTTACCCTTAGAAATGGTAGCCAATTACGAGTGACTGAGGAGAATACCTGCCATTCGAGAACCACAACAGACAGAGAGATCTGCCTTGCGCAGAACTATAGAGAACACTTTGGACTATCAAGCTGTCTTGTTATAATTAAAAATCCACCGCAGATTCAGAATCTGGCAACTTTATCGCTTTTCATCGTCAGGTATACCACCTGAAAAACCGAGATTTTTAGTACCAAATATAACTGGGATGAAGTAAAGCCTTCTCTACAAAATGCTGAATTCTCTACAAGGCCTGCATCAAACCTGTACAAAGCGAAACAAAAATATGAAAACAAGAATACTCAACACGTTCAAAAGGACCAACTTCCTAGCTCAAAAATGTTTTCGTCGGCTAGTGGATAGGAAAATAAAATAATATAGGCATTTTGTAGCCCTTGAAAAGCGCTATCGATCAAACATCATTCGAAAGTTTTTGTGCTCATTCTTACGACGCACACCACTAATCTTCTTTTCCAGATTTTCGAGGAATTAGCTGTTTCAGTCTGCGATTTCGAAGCTCCTGAGAAAAGAGGCATAACTGCGTCAAAATAACATCTTTTGAGTTCAGGTTTTTATTTAGATGGAAAATGACTATAGTACTTGCCCATTAACAATCAATGTCCTATCGCATGCAGGCAGATTGTAATTATTTGAATAGTATCATTTTCTCCTAAAAACAAAATAGCATTCTCTCTCACTTACTAAATGTTGTGAGGTAAACTTACGTTGATTGCCACTGATATCACGTCTTTGTAAAGACCGAGAGTTTTAAGTGTTTAATTCTTGTATAGTACAAAAAAAGAGGTAGATAATATGGATAGAGCCCGAATACCATGAGCGACTTTATTTCTGAATATTTTTAAGTAAACATAGTTTATAATTATTATAAAGTTTTTTTTTTGTTTATTTAGTTTTTTAATGGACGGACAATCAACTTTTACTTCAAATTCGATTAGTTTTTTCTGGTGTGTCAATAATAATTCAAATCTTATTATTTTACTATTGGTCTATCAAAATTTTTATAAAAGCTGGTAAAAACGGCTGCTGGGTCTTTGTACCCATTATTAATTTATTTGTTTTGGTTGAAGTTCTAGCATATTACGTTTGTGGGCTTTCTTGTTGTTTGGTCCCGGTGTATTGTACAAGAGCAAACTGCGTGATTCTATTGCTCTAACTCAGAATAGCATTTAACAGTAACAATGATGGAGTTTAAGTTTGAAAAACAGCGTGCTTAACAAGTGGATTTATCATTTGTGAATTTGATTTTCACGAAACTTGTAAAACAAATACAAGAGGTGTTTCTAAAACGCTGAGAACTTGAAAAGGGTCCCAAGATTTTGGCAACTCTGTTTTACTCTCTGAGCACGAAATAGAGAATAGTGGATACATCGTTAGTGTGATGATGGAATATATCAGATAAGGCATCTTACTTTTAACATCAAATCTTTTTTATCTCATAGATCGTAACATAAGAACAACGATCTATCCACTATTTACTCTTTCGTGTTCACCGATTCACGTTCTCATTGTACTTTTTAGTCTTATCCAGTAAGTAGAATTTTTCCGTACATAATCTAACAAGAAATGTAGATTAGTCTAGTAGTAGAACAGAAAACGTTAAGATGAAAGATAGGATCGTATAATTGGTTATGAGTTGAGAACTTTTGTCATAGTTAACTAGTTCCCATTGTTGATACTTTTTTTGTTTGTTTCTTTTTGTCTTTACTGATTAAAAATTATTGAAAAAATGGATCTCGTGATTAGATCTAAACGATAAAAATTAACCTTTATTTAGAAATATGATTGTGAGTAGTAGGATGTGTCTTGGGATTCTATAGAAGAGATGACCGCTTGTATGATGATCCTTTCTTTCATCTCAACGTTTTCTGTTCCACTACTAGACTAATCTACATTTCTAAATATCTAGATACGTTATGGATTACGGCCAAAGTACGTCAAGTTACGGCCATTTACGGCGTGTTATCCTGCTGCAGTACACGGTGGTAATTCGCCATATATGGCCATCGTAATCAATGGCCTGGGAATATATGCCCAAAATACGAGCGATCAGTAAATTTTTTTTCAAATAGTAACACATCGTTCTGCGTGGTCTGCGAGAGACACTTGGGGATGTGTTCTCTTACTTTATCTCACTCTTCTAAAAAGTTATCAGTTCATAATACAACTAGTCAGAGAACAGATACCTCAACGGTTTCGTACGTATCTAGATGGGTTTCGTATTTATCTACGAAACGCTTCTGGATTATCCAAACTAAATCCGAAACCTTAACCTCATATATTGAATATGAGTCTATTTCATTCACGAAGTTTCTAGAGCTTCAGGAAATACGCACGAAACCTGCAATCATTTTTGTTTAGAGAGTATGTTTGGTTATGTGCGAGAAAAATTGACGCAGAGATTAATATAAAAGTATCTAAAACTTTTCTCTCATAAAATTGGTTATAACTCTATTTCACAGAGATACGTGATCTATACTATGCAAAATGTTTAGCTGAACAAAATTTATTATTCAAAAAATATCTGGCACTTCTAATCACGGATGACGGATTTTAGTAAGTTAGCAAAATGACAGAGTACAACTTTCAAATCTTATCCTTGAAAATCATAGAAGTAAGAAAAGTTGTAACGATATTTTTGTTCTTATTAAAGTCTGATAAAGATTCAACGTCTGCATTGAGTAATTTTTGTAGATGTCGATTTTCCGAAAGTGCGAGAACTGTAGATTCTTTTCATATCGAAATATTTCAGGCGTACCATTCTAGATAACCAGTGTTTAGAAAGAAAATTTCTATCACATACTACATAATTTTACATAATTTTTTATATCAATAACCATTTGTGATCAGTCGGAGTAGTTTTATTTAAAAAATAGTCAAAAATAAACAAGAAAATAGTGAGCAAGGTAGCAGTTATACTACGTTGACGAAATTTTTGATTAAAATTGGTGAAAGAATAAATACAACCAATTAGTGAAAATAATCTGACTCAACGAGTAAGGAACCTTATGACTAGGCATTATTGTGAAATTATCATTATTAACATGGTGGTTTTTTAACATTTTGGATGAAGTTTGTGACACTGCTGATATCGTTCCCTGCTGGATAATAATTAGCAACATAATAATAACATTTATTCGTGCTTGATTGAGAGATACCAATACCGAATACTTTTGTTGCCACCCATACAACAGCTGTAAAATGACCGGTAGCTGATGAATAGCCAGGATTAGAAAAGTTATATTGAGCTATCTCATTATACCATTGGGCGGTAGGTTGTGAACCTAAAATAATTACAAAAAAAATTTTTCAAGTTCATTTTGTACAGTCTGCAATATCGTAAAAGTGAGGTTGATTGTTCTTTACGAAATTCAGTTTTTTCGATAACTTAAGGTATATCTTGTCATTGAGTACTATTTATACAGAACATTTTTTAACATAGCTAATATCAAGAAACCTACCGTTGATAACACTTGGTGTACTACTACACATATATCCGATGTTTTCCCCGAGACTATGTCCATTTAATTTATTTGTACTATGTTGTAATGTATTGGTTTGACTCATGCTCTTTGCCCATGCTTGTGATATATCCGCGATTGTTTGATTGAATGCTAATGGTGGTGCACACTGTTTTTGACGATATAGATTGTGTTGAGTTAATGCCTGACTTTGAAATAAAGTTTGACCATTTGTACTTATAGCTGGTGAAAACATAAATAGAAAATAGACATACTTTAATCTCAATATTAAGATTTCAACTAATCATCTTACCATTTAGAGCGAGTAATAAACTCAAAATGGAATAAATCATTGTAATATGCTAGAAGACAACATAAATATTGCTTTCTAAGAGTATTCGGGAAAGCAGGTCGACGCTCCGAAAGTTGCCATGGAAATTACTTTCTGCTGAATAGGTGGTCTTTCTTCAAAACGGGAGTGACAACCTTTATTAGTTTTAAGAAAGGATGAAACACGCACAATCGATAACACTGAGTCTTGTAGTAACATTTATTTTGTGAAAACAGACTTAGACTATTTTCATGATTTCTTTGAAAATTCACTTTCAAAAATGATTTAAATCACTACAAAAACTCCAGAATATGATCGGTATAACACTTCGTAACTGTGAATAACAGGAGAAAACACCAAACTAACTTCATTAACAATGAAGTTTTCCAGATATCTACACAAAAATATTCTAAACGGAAAGAATGCTTTAGTGCCGCAGTCACCATGCAGAGAGATCCAGCTATGCATATCTTGAAGTTGTTAATTGATCTAAATCATTGTTGATTGAGAATTTTTTAAAAAATCACGAAAATAGTTTAAATTTAGATAGACTTTTTTCAAAAAACGAATATTGTTTTAAGATTCATTGTAATCAATAAATGCATGTTTCATTCTTTTTTGAGTCTATACACTATCATCAAATAAATCTGATTTCACGCCTGAACCATCCGGTATGAAGTTCTTGACTACCGTTTTGAATAAAGACTATTCCTAGAAAGATTATTCCTCGAATCTTAATAAGATTTCGCTTACATTTGTCTAAGATCTTAGACAATTCTCTATCTTACTAAGATAGATAGAATAGATCTATTCATGAACAAGAGCTTTTTATGGCGAAACTCCGACCTGATTTTTTCGATGATCCACTAAAAAACTAACGTGCACAAAAAATGTTGACTTTTTTTTTCACAGAACGTTGTTGTTCCTGGTCTTAGCTATCTAATGGCAAAAACTTGAGTTCTCTATCTTCTTTCTATAAACCGCTATTCAAGAAACAGTATGGTATGACTTTTAATTTGAAATGCATAATGATTTGTGTAGAGGTGAAAGTTTGAAAGAAAACAGGATTTTCACAGTCATAGCATGTCATAGAACATATAATTTGCTTACCTTTGGAAGAACGAGAGATAATGATATATTGATTGTTCACCTGTAAAGATTGTTTTGGGAAAATTCAGTCAAATTACAAGGCTATTTATATGTCAAGTACGCAGCACAAAAAGTCAGGAAAATCATTGAAGTGTACATACTGTATGTGTTTTCAAATAATATTATTTTATTTTTTCTATTTCGAAAGTGAAGGTCATACATTTGAACCACGCATAGCTATTTTTAAGTTATCAGTTTTTAGTTGTCATTCATGACGTATCCAACCATCAAGGTTAGGAACATTAGAAGCCATAGAACAAAGCCATAGAAGCTTTGTACATACATTGAATTATGAATGCACTTGAAAATATTTCTGACAACAACTATGTGACGCATAAACTTAGCAAAACTTAAAAATAACTACGAATAATCACATGTCCTTGATAAACCCCCTAACTAGATATCCTGTTTTTTCTAGTTTTATTTCGTCAACCTTATTATCAACTAGGTGGAGCTTAAAGATGAAACTATAACATTGACTCAACGAATTTCTGACAAAGGCTAACACCTAATTTAGTCATAAAATTGAAACTATTCTATCTGTACAAACATCATAAACAATACGCAGTATTTATCTACATATATATTATGCGTATATATCTTTGATTTACGAACTTAATAATCGGAGAAAAAACCTCGAGAAGCGTAAGAGTTCAAATATACAATATAGAATTGAAGACACAGTTGCTGATTAATTCTTTTGATACTAGAATGAAACCATATGTTATGCATAATTACGAATAAAATCAGAACAGAAAGTTTATATAAATCATATTTATTCAATAAAGATCTGCTGCATAATAAATAACAGTATCGTAAGACTGATAAACGGATAGTTGTTACTGCCAATATAAGTTTTAACTCATCACACCATCATATCAGATCAATTATTTTGTAAATAGAACATCAACTTTTTTCAAAATCTGTTAAATCTTTACGCGACTTGACTTATGGCAAAGATCTGTTCTTTATGGCAAAGAATAAAATATTTTTGATCTTTCAGAATTAACGGGTGTCCCAGAATAAATGGGTCTCTCAGTATTTCGCCAATATCTCTCTATCAATTACCATTACTAAGGCTCGAATTTTTTTTAATAAGATTCCCCGTTCAATTCTCTACAAAAATTATATTGGACATTTTTTATACATTGTCTAAATAAAAGACTATAGATGATACACTGCAAAGCTTCAATCTCTATTATTTTCTAACTCAAAACTCAACGTAAAAACATTTATTTTCAACGCGGTGCGATGTATCAAAATGAGATCGAAGTGCATACTCTAGCGCATCTTTCTTTTCGTGTATCATCGGTTTGCTTTAAAAATGATTTTATGGCATAAAAGGCGATTTACTAAAATTCATCAAAGCAAGAGGAATATTTTGGCTGGTTCGCCCGGGCACAGAAAAAGGAATTCAGAGCTATTGAACTTTGTCTGTTCGGATGTAACAGAGACAATCCCAGCGCCAAAATGCTCGATTTTAACCGATTTATAAAAAATTTCCGTGTACTCCAAAACTGGAGTTTAAGACCAATGATTTTTGGTATAATTTATAAAAGAAAAGGCATTTCCCCACAACCAGTCGTAATGATGAAAAATTTTAAATATAGTCAATTGATAGAGCTTTTCAAAGGACACAAAATGGTCATTTTTTCTTATATCGTAAGTTACAAATGACTAAAATTCAAAAAATATTTTTCAGCCTAGAAAATAATGGAGAAGGTTCAGTGAAGCTTCGCAGTGTTTCATCCATAGTCTTTTATTTATACAAAAAATGTTCAATATGGTTTTTGTAGAGAATCGAACCAGGAATCTTTCAAAAAATAAATCGAGTTTTGGCAGTGAAAATTGACAGATATTGGCAAAATACTGAGAGGTCCATTTATTTTGGGACACTCGTTACTTATTATCACATTCAGTACGCACTGCACGGATTCTTTCTTTGAACGCAGAAAATTGACGGTAAAGATCCGCTCTAGTGAATGTACTTGGGTTAAGTAATGAGGACAGCACTTGTGGACTTTTCCAGATAAATTTACTTGCCAAGTACTTTCTCAAGTACTTCGCTGACACAATGCAAGTAAATTCACTTCAAAAGCTTCGATCAAATACTTATTCCATTTATCTTCATTTTGTATTTTGTACGGATTCTGCAGCCATACTCTACTTTTGTAGAGCAAATACATGCACGGCTACTAAAGGACGGCAGCGGATGAGGCTCAAAATTTTCCTTTAACTAAAACGGGGAAAAAGTTTTTCTCAAAATTGAACAAAAGATACACCATTCGACGCAGAATTGTGTGTTGAGTCCGAATCACTGGTAAAAAATCGGAAAAGAAGTTCATCTGTATCGGTTGTGTTCAATAGTGAAGTGGAAAAGATCAAATGAAAACGCATGCAATTTCCGCCCAGTTCAACAAGATGTTTTGCACCGCAAGTAAAAGCGGCTTGACAGATTACAGAGAAAAGATTTTCTATCGTTAGCTAGAAAAAAAGCAGATATTCTGGCCATCAGACCTACATTTACCCTCGAAATAGGAATGGATCTGTTAAGATCTTCAATGGCGCTTTTTCCGTAATACCAAAAAGTGCGCTTATTAACGCGCTGCGTAAACCAACTTTATTCCAGCGATTGAGCAAGTATTTTGACTTCACATAGATTTTATCCGCAGTCGATTAATCATTTTTCTCTCAGTTTATCTCAGCCCCAGTGGATGTACATGGTACACGTATTTGATTTCTTGAGGAGTACTTGGGAAGTACTTGATCAAAAACTTGCAAGTGTCCTTACTCGACTTGCTTCAGTCATGTACTTGGACAGGTCAGTCACCCTTTTCTTTTGCATTGACCGTTTGTATATCAATACCACTATCAATCAGAATCGTTATACACTTATAAAATAAACTTATATATTTCTGCAGAGTTGAATAAAGCACGGCAGCGGATGAGGCTCAAAATTTTCCTTTAACTAATCGCACCAAAAGACACATATTCTGAATCAACGTCAAATTCTGAGCAAAACTATCGATTCAGTTTTTCGGAATACTGACTTTGGTTTTCTCAAAAACTTTAGGCTCTGAGGTCCACCTCAGGAACACGAGGGAAAAGTTTTTCTCAAAATTGGACAAAAGATACACCGTTCGGCGCAGAATTGTGTGTTGAGTCCGAATCACACGTAAAAATCGAAAAAAAATAAGTCTTGATCGAGAAAAACGGCTTTTACTGGAAAATGGACAAACTTGGTCACCACGGTTTTGGGCCCTCCCTGACCTCAGCTAAGCGACTTAGAACCTTCAAAGTTAGTGTTTTGAAACCGCCACAATGTCAGCTTTCAGATGGTATGTCGAGAAGTTGGAAAAAATGTAGTTTTAACGGAAATATAGGTCAAAATGTGAAAAAAACCACGAAAAACGCGGTTTTTGAAAAGTATTTTGAATATGGCGTCTCGGAGAGGCCGAAGCGCAGTTCAAAACACACGCAGTCCTACTCAGTTTTGAATGAGGAATTCAAATATGGCCAGAAAATGTTTTTTTAGAGGAAGCATTTTTTGGGGAAAAACCGCGTTTTTCATGGTTTTTTCACATTTTGACCTATTTTTCCGTTAAAACTACATTTTTTCCGCCTCTTTTACTTGCGGTGCAAAACATCTTGTTGAAGTGGGTGGAAATTACATGCGTTTTCATTTGATCTTTTCTTCTTCACTATTGAACGCAATCGATACAGATGAACTTCTACCGACTGTTTCATGGAACTATTAAGTCGGTATTTCTCTATTATAATATCAACAAATTTAGTTTTTCTTTTCGTGTTTATGTGATTTTTTACGTGTTGAATTAGAAAAAGAATCCACAAAGCCATATATAAGATAAGCTAATATCAACTACTGAATATACAGCGTTCTGTATTATTATCATAGATGCCACTCTTTTCAGTTGATGTTATGTCGCGTCTAGAAGATCTCCTAATTCGAAATATACAATCTTCTATTTGAAGCACCTTAGTTGACTTTTCAGATGTCAGTACTTGTGTTTAATTTCTGTTGGCCAAGTTTTTTATCGAATAAAAAACCTTTTCTTATTCGTAATTGTATTTACTATAATTTTGGGGTCAAGATAAGCGTACGTTGACACTGGCGCTCAATGAAAGCTGATCTTGTTGGACAGGACAAACATAAGTAGGACAATGTAGTAAGACAGATGAAATTAGTGAGCGTTTTATGTAGATTTTCTAGTCTTTTTGTCTGTTCTAGATCTTTTTGTGTAAACTAGTTCATAAAAGGAAAAAATGAACACGATAGTGAATCTTAACAGTTCGGCACTTGTTTCTTAGCGAAACGCAGAGAATTATTTATCCGACATTCTTTTTACATTTACAACATTATGACTAAGACCATTTCTGATTTTTGTTTTATTTTTAGATAATCTACGTTGCTTTTCTTTCTTTATCTCTCTTTCGGATGGTTTCACCAAATTCTATTAGTACACCGTCACCAACTGTTATAATCAAATGTCATCAAGTCGATAATAATAACAATAAAAAATGTTCGGAACAGCAATGTTTTTCTTGTCCTCACTGTTCCCTCCCTTTGTGTTGTAAGCATTTGGTTTCACATCAGAATTTGTTAAAAACGCAAATTAAACAATTAACGACGGAAACAAATCGTGTTTTGAAAACAACAAATTTACAAACATCCCCAGCACTATTTGAACGCCAACGAAACTGTTTCTATCAAATCGTTGAAGAATGGAAAACAGATCGTGAGTGACTTATTACTCAACTGGAAGCATGTATCAAAAATACAAAATAATAGGAACTGTGGACTGAATATCTATATTTCACAACCACTTTTTAGTTAAAGAAAAGCTCCAGCCATGGAACCTTAAACTGGTCCTAACTACACCTACAGTTCGCGAGACTACCTTTTTGTAACTTTTCTATATACACGTAGAACATAAAATAATTCGGTGATAAAATTCTAATGTATGTACAGAAAAGGCAATTTCATTATCTAAATTCTCTATGAATCAAATTATAAACAAATTTATTCAGCGCAAACAAAGTCGAGTTTAAAGTATCAAAATCAGGAGCTGTGGAGCTACGATACTTCGCTCCAAACGACACATTATCAAATGCATGAAATAATCTCAACCATACCAATATCTTAGTCCACTGTCATTGAGTGTTTAAAGCATCGACATCTGACGTACGAGAGTTTCTTTAACTTTCATGATTTGATTAATGTGCAGGACACATCAAGCCGAGAATGAAAAGTACTGTTTAGTACGATTTCTCTTCCATCGAGATTTTGACTCTCCCTGAGATGTACGTTTAGTACGAAAGTTTTTCTTTTACATTACAGGAATAGACCATATTCTATTTATTTATCAAAAAAAATTGAATCAGATCGATTTAATTACGTATCAAACTCGTCATGAATTAGAAAAATTTAAAATCGAGCAAAAAACCGTATTTAATGCAGCAATTGCAGCAAAATTAGAAAAACTACTGTTTACTAATCAACAAACACCAGCAAATGAAATTGAAGAACTAAATCAAAAATTAACAATTACACGAAATCTCCTAGACTATTTTGTACAACCGAGTCCAACTCTGTCTACCATACCACCTGCTTTATCATCGATTGTCATTGAACGGGTTATTGCAAATGGTTTACATACAGATGAAATGGAATCGGATGAAGAATATGTAGATTTTTCGCGATTATTCAAACTTAAACCAATTAGAGAATTTCAATTAGAAACTGATAATCTTGGTAAGTATTTCAACATGTTAGAACTTAACTAAAATTTATCATTGTAATGATAACTTCTATCTATTTAGCCATGGCTTCCTCCGATTCAAATGTTCTTGTTCGTGATGGTTCAAAACTATTACTATTTGATTCTACTCAAAAACTACATGAAACTGTTTGGAAACAAGAGCATTTAGGCGATTTTATTCGTGATATATCCTGGTGTCAAAAGTTGAACTTGTATTTAGTTTTATCACAGTATATCCTATTCACATTTGATCCTTGTACCTATGAATTAACTCGAATCGTTCAAGTAAAACCGATTGAACGCCTCAAATTTTCATCACTTACATGTTACGATCAGACAATGTTTCTAGTTAATGGTAAGAAAACATCAGGAGATAAGAGCACAACGAATATGCGATGATCTTTTTTTTTATCTTTAGGAAATGGTCAATTTGTTGAAAAATGGACATTGGAACCATCATGGCAGTTACTTCAACGTTGGCCGGAACATGAATATTGTGAAGAAAATTTTCGTTTAACATCACGCATCCGTTCACACTCATTTATATTAGCATTGAACATTTGTGATAGTAATTTTGGTTATCGATTATGTTTATATGATTATTCAATGAAATTAATTCGTCGCATTAAAAGTGATTTTAATCTACATTTGCTTTCACACGTCAGTGGCTGCCAATGGTTAGCAACAGATTATAAAGAAAAATTTTATGTTTTTAATGATGATGAAGACGATGAGAAAATGAAAGCAATTGATTACAAAAAAGGTGGTTATATTCGAAATGTTGGGAAAATGGGTAATGGATATGTTGCCGTGAAAATTATTAATCGATTACAATTTTATAAATATTGAATTATTTTGCACACTAATATACATCTCATAAAATGTCCTCTATCACCAGTGCATATGCTTTAAGAGATTTGTTATATTCTCTTTTCTAAGAGAACTTGTTTGCATTTCTGTTCTTTTAGCAGCAGATCTTTCATTTCTTTTACATTCACCTCATAGATGATGGATTCTATATTCTTAGTTGTTTTGTTTATGTTTTGATAAACTGTTTGAGTGCTGAAACTAGATTTTGTAGACTAATAGACATTCTTTTTTTTGTTGCAGTGTGCTTTGCGTGCGGTTTTGTATTTTGTAGAAAGAAATTTTTTCAAGTTTCATAATAAACGACTTGCTCTCAAAGATAACAAAGATAATATTTATGACTTTCTTTTCGCTTATTCAACCAAAGACCGTTGCATCTGTAGGTAGATGCTCATGTAAAAGAAACTAGAAATAAACTTGGTCGAACATGGAGTGTGAGGTTATACTTGATAGAGTGCAGGGTTTCCGATTGTTCTAAGGCATGGAAGGAGCTAAAAATTTTTCTTTGCAAAAAGTGGCTGGAGAAAAAAAATGTTCTAAATTTTTGGCAGAAAGTTGCTTGTGTAATTTTGAACTTCTTTCATATTTTTGCTTTCTTCATTGGACCTTTGAATTATTTCTGTCAAATATTTGTTGTCCTCATTCAATTTTTGAACTTTTTCTTTCAAATTATTATTTTCGTTCATTACCAGTCTCATTGTTCGTACAAATTGATGTACAAATTGATAATATTAAATCAAATAAAAATAAATCATTTACCATCGAGCCAACAAGTCATCACAGTTTTAACAAATCGTTAACGTCATTCCAAAAAATCTTTTCGATGAACCAACCAAAATCAAAGTGTTTATTCCGCGTACAATTCAAAAAGTCATGGAAGCCGATAGACAAGTATTTGTCAAGTTTGTAGATGGAATCAAAGAAGCACTACAACAGGAAGACTATGCTGTCGAAAATGCTCTTCGAATCATAATTAAACAAGAAGAAACAAAAAAAATAAAAATAATATTATTAGATAGAAAAAATCGAGATATTTTGGTAAAAACAGATGTTCATGTTGACACCACCACCACCTGTACACATGCGTCTCAACTTCAATAGAGCGGACTGGAGCCAATATTGAATTCAACTAGATAAAATCCTAGTACAAAAATAGCCAACATTAGTATGCACACATAAAGAGGTTAACGAATATTGTTCATTCATTACACAAGCTATATCTGAAGCATCAAAAAAAGCCATACCAACCGCAGGAATTACCATAAACAGGTACAAACCCAGTTCGGTGACAATAAACATCATCTTTATGAACTTTGAAAAAAATCGAATTCCGTTGTAATAAAACATCAATATTTTGAAGCTAAAGAATTATTAGAAAATTCTATTAACCCTCATCCGCCCACCTGGGGTCCAGCTGGACCCCAACGAGTTTCAAATTAATGTTATATGCACATAATATTAGATCGAATCATGCCCTTCATGATATGCCTTAGTGAAGAGTAGTAGAGTAAGCTGATAACATC